ATTAAAACAGAGCCTTATGTGTCCTAGTGGCTACAGCCAATACCCAATTACTATCCAGCTTAAAAGAAATAAATAAAAAGCTATGTCACATCTTCACCAGTAAAAAGGAGAGAGAAAAAAACACCTTGATAGAAGAGAAGGGTCTTTCCTTTCGGGCCGTATTCTTACGAGCATGTGGGTGGGGCTGAACTCACCACCAACACCAGGCGCACCTCGTCCGTCGGATCTTGCTACTTCATCCACCCAATTATGATGGGCTTCCCTTCTTTCCTCTTCTTCTTCGTTTTGTGACTCGGTCTCATAATTATCAAGGGTAGCATGTACAATCTGCAAACACAGCACACATATCGTTTGAACAAAGTTTGACAATTTTTGCTCTGTGGCTCTGATTAAATTGCTTAGAATAAAGGCTCACAATTGAAAAAAAATAAAAAATAAAAATAAAAAAAAAACACTAGAACTGGCGGGAGGGAAAAAAATACCTTTTCTTTCAACTCTTCTAGTGAAGAAATTCAGATGACATAAGCAGTAATACAAATTCAATTGATGAAACTAAAATTTTTTTAAGATAACAATAAGTGTTATAGAGCATGTATTTATCAAATTTGAAATTCCCAGGCAAACTTGCATGCTTCTCTATGCACTTACAATTACTAATAACAAATAGTTTTCGTTATCTGAATAGGATATCTGGGAAATGAAAATGAACAGTCGCTTACACACATGCAACTAACAACACTACTATTATAAAGCGCCGTGATATGTGAGCACCAAACCAAAAATTTGAATTTGTGTAGCAACATATAATTCTCTTATAAGACCTATCATGTAATAGATCATATACACTGAATTTGTATCTAGAAAATGCCTACACTACAGAAAGACAAACCTTTTCAAATTCTGTGAATATATGTGAGAATTCAGCCATAAACCAGACCTGCAGATAGAGAAGCAAACCACTCAAATGAGGCATTAATAAAAGCCAAAAAGAAAAAAGTACAAAACACAACCAAATATAGTTATGTGAGCACCACGATGATCTAGGTGTCTTTTAATTCTTAATTAAATGCCGCAGACAAACTTAAGTACTCTACTTTAAAGTTACCATGGCCGAAAGGCATCGCAAGCTCGACGCCCTTAAAACATGCTTTTGCTGCTCATCTTCGGTTGAACGTGTGAACATGCAAACTTTGTCAACAAAATTTTCAATATTGTGTGTATATGTCCCATCCACCTGTGGAAACATAAAAAGAATAAGACAGAAGCATAGTCTGCACCCATGCTTAATCAAATAAGACCCATGCTAATGAAATAAGATGACGAACAAACACCCCCTTTTAGTTCCTTTTTTTTACTCTCCGTCACTCATTTCTTTCTAATATTTTAATCTTTCACTTCACGAATGATGCATCTTACTACTGTGACACCAAATCTTTAAAAAACTTATATTCATACAACTATAACTCGAAAGGAATTCTCCTCCGTACTATAATAAAGATTCAGAAATGCACTTATTTTATTACTTTTTTTGGCGAGGAAGGAAAATGTACCTAAAATCAAGTCACTGCCCGTGAAGCAGAAAATATATGATTGTGATAGGCATATATAAAAGATAAATGACTTTACACTTCATTGCTAAAGATGAAATATCATAGTTCTAAGGCCCAAAATCACCTGACAGTGTATAAAAGTAGTAAGAGTATCGCATCCAATTATCAACACAGCATCCTGCTTAGACTCATCAAGCAGTTCAGTAACAACATTCAGCAAGTTTGCAGCAAAATATGCCCTGTGAACATATGGAGAGAGCATGACATTAAAATTGGGAAGAAAAAACAAAGACCTGGTACAGTAGATCCCACAAGCATTCACAAAACATTTAACTAGATTATAAATGTGAACAGAATAGAAAACGAGATAACCTGCAATATCTGCAGACAGATTATGTTCAAAGTTCAATTACAAACATTCAAGAACCATTAATGGTTGATCAAGCAAGCATTTTTATGATCACAAGGTAAGTAATTACGTAGGGGAAACTTACTTTTGCTCCTTACAAATGCAGAGTAGTTTGTTGAAAGCCTCAGCAACAACACCTACAAGTCTGGTGTTGCCATTTCGCAGTTCTTTGTAACATCTTTCTTCAAGATATTTAGCGATCTAACAAAGCAAATTTGGCAAACAAGAAAAAAAAATCTCTGTCAGTTGGGCCAACATATATGACTTTAGAATTAGTATACACAACTTGCTTACCTTTGGAATCCGCAAAGGGTTTTTGGAGGCATATTCACAGAGCTTTACAACTTTTCTTTCATTTGAATGCCCTTCCTGCATTAGGAAAAAAGAAAATATCACAATACATTAATTCAGTTGTCTTAGAGTTCATCTCTCTCTTAAGCTGTATATTTGAAGAGTTAACATGCCCAAATAAAATTTTTGATAAAAACCAGAATTACATAACTTTTTTCGATTTTCATTGCATCTATACGAGGTGCACTATTTAGAATGATATTACAAGGAGAAATCAACCAAGGAATTATAAAGAAGAACAAGATACAAAATACTAAATCAACACAACGTAAAGAACCAAATGTTTAAACCATATCACGACAGAGAAAAATAAACTGATGATAAAGTACATTTATGACCAATGTTCTCTCAACTAAACAACAAAAACCAGCTGAGCACGTGATTCTTCATGTTTTCAGCTATAAATACCGTATCAAGCCCAAACCGAAATGTCAAGTTAGGACTTAGGAGAGAACAAATGCCACAAAAAACACAAGCTTTTCTTGAGAAAAAGTGAATTACTCACAGGAGACTTGGGAAATATCTCAGCAAGCAATTTCTTGTAACGTTTAACAGGTTGCCGAGACCGTGACCTCAAAGCTGGGCAGCACACACACATGCTCTCACATGCTGGGAATATCTTACGGGAAATTATACCCATTTTTGGTATCCTACAAACAAAAAATAATTAAAATGGTTATAGTAATATAATGCCCACTTTTCGATTAAAGCAAATTAACATTACTCTTTTACAAGACATCATAACCATTGTAAATTTCTACTTTTATGTTCAAAACCACAGAGATGAATGAATGCAACATCACATTTTTAAACAAACAGAAAAAAATTGAGCTAATATTAGAATGAATAAGCAGAAGGGTACATATGCAAAGAAGCTCAAGAAAACGTTTCAAGAAAAAGACAAAAAAATCAGATGTATTTTTAAAAAGGGGAAAAGAAAAGGCAAGATCTTTTCATCTCAAGCATCGCAAACAACAAAAGAAAATGGGGGGGAAAGTACATGTTACTACAAGTGAAGCACAAATGCTATTAAACACCATAAAAATCATTCATTTATCGTGTTAAAACAGAAATGGGGCCTGATAACATGAAAGAATTAAGAAATTACAAACTTTTCACAGCAAAGACAGATCTGGGGAGCTAGAGAAGAACTCCCACACAGACCCTCCAACGGTTTTCTCGGATACTTTTCAACCCAACTCCAATTTTCGAACTTTAAACTAAAGAAGTACAAGTGATGGAAAAAGAAAAATAGATTAAAAAGGGTCTGAATACAATTTGTTCTGCAGGACCAAAATTGAACGAGAAAAGAGGGAGAGAGGGGAAGAAAAAGAATTGAGAGGTAGAGAGCGATCACGTGATTGTCAGTCTACTTTTACTGTGTCTAAAGAGTAAAGAGTCGTACGTTTTGTCTATAGATCAGAAAACTTGGAAGTCCAATAACATTTTTTTTAATTTTTTTTTGGATACATTAAAGTGAGGCTACGGCGAGCCTAAACTAGAACCGATCGAGAATGAGACACCCAATAACATTTTTTCGACACAGTCTTGTTACTGGTATGTATTTGTTTATAAATTTCAAATTTATCTTTTTCCTTTTTGTACTAGTATGTACCCGTGCGATGCACGGTGGGCGCATAATTTAAAACATATTAAAGTACTTATTTTAAATATAATTAATTCAATTTAACATCTAATTATAGAAACAAAAATAAAAAAAAAAAGAAATCATATATTATTAAAAACTTCTCTGTACACAACATTATTTGTTTGATTTGGGGGCAAATCATGTTCACCACATATTAGAATTTTCAGACCCCTTCTGTTGGTGACGCGCGAAACAGCAACATATAATTGGCCATGACTGAAAACCGGTTTCTTCAAGAATAAACCAACGTGAGATAAGGATTGACCCTGACTCTTGTTAATAGTCATTGCATAAGAGACCACGATAGGAAACTGCCTTCTTTGAAACTTAAAAGGTACTCTTGCATCGGAAGGAGTTATCGTCATTCGAGGTATCAACACTTTATCCCCTGCATGGTCGCCCGTAAGTATCCTACATTCTAGGACATGATTGGAGAGTCTTGTTACAACCAAACGTGTCCCGTTGCACAATCCCATAGAATGATCCATGTTCCGCAACAGCATAACCGGAGTTCCCACCTTCAGATGCAACTCATGATTTGGTGTACCAGAACACTTGAGAGAATTTAAGAACTCAGGAGTGTGGATTTCTGACAAGAAGTCAGAATCCAAATCGGATTTACACGTACTGTCGGAGCTCAAATATACACGACCTTCTGTTAGATTCAACGACGACATGTATTGGTTGATAGACTCAACGATCTCCAACGTAGGTGCAAGTATGGCTCTGTCCTTCAGATAACTTGGATCATCTGTTGCGTTCTTGAACATTGGATACGTGCTCTCAACAATTGCAGCAATGGGGTCATCGGATGGGTCTATTAATAGATCATCTGGTATTTCAATGGAGGCACAACCATCGTTAACACCTCCAATAGTACCATCTCCGATGCTAGCAATCCAATCAGCAAATTTAGAAAGCTCCTCACGTTCATCCGAATCATCAAGGCTCTGAAGACGCATGTTCTTCGTTAACCTAAGCACGGTACAATCTTGCCAAATGGTTGAAGCATTTATCGAAGCATTAACAATCTGTTGACGGTTCCCCTTTGGAATCACTGGTAGGATTTGTCGAAAATCTCCACCAAAAACAACAGTCTTGCCACCAAACGGTTTATAATGGTTCATCGGGTTGACCGTTCCCATGATCGCCTGAAATGACGTTTGAACAGCTTCGAAGCAATGCTTATGCATCATTGGAGCTTCGTCCCATATGATGAGGGAGGACCGTATAATTAGCTCTGCCAGAGGGCTAGCCTGGTTGATATCACAGGACGCATTTTCGTGAAGATTAATAGGTATGCCAAAGCGAGAGTGTGCAGTTCTTCCACCAGGCAACAGAAGAGAAGCTATTCCACTCGATGCAACACAAAGCACGATCTGACCCTTCGATCGCAATCCCGCAGCTAATGTTCTCCACAAGTACGTCTTACCGGTTCCGCCATAACCGTAGACAAAGAAAACACCGCCCTGACCTGAGTCTACCGCTGCCATAATTCTTGAATAAACTCCTTTCTGTTCGTCAGTCATATTTCTAAGAAGATTACTGTGCTCGACAGATAAGGCCTTGCGGTCATAATTTAGCTCATCCAAAATCAATCGATTTGTACTCGTAGTAACACCGGTCATATCAGGAAAAGGCATTGTTGGATATTCTCGAAGACTCGTACCGCGACGTCTCAACAAATGTTCAATTTCAGCGAGAGCTAAATTTTTTATATCTGCATCACTCAGCTGCAAACCTAAGAAGGAAAACAATTCAAAGTCAGAATTACAAAAAATCGACTATAGTACTTAAAAAGGAAATGAAAAATAATAAAATAAACAATAAAACATAAATAAAAATTAAGTCACATACTTTCATTATTGAAGAGAAGACGTTGTCTATAAACGATGTCATCAGAGAGAAAATCCAAACACTGTTCCCATACGTGCTCGGGTCTACCTAACGATCCAGAAACCAACAACGTTGCAAACATGCGTCTCAGAGAATCAGCAGATGCCCATTGACTTGCCTCAGATATGCCATCAACATACTCACGATCGTCACCCAACAAACCTAGAGCGTGGCAAGCATCACGATACGACGAATATTGAACGTTGGCTGCCTTCATATAATCCTCGTGGCATGTTGCTCCACGGGTTACATTAAGCATGCACCTCAAATAGAAATTATCGCCGGCGTTAGGAGGAACATAGCGCAGGCGGGCTATAGCGCCATCTCTGATTCGAGGGGTCCACTCTCTCAACGTCGTGTTCCAAACAAATTTCCTTGGTGCCTCAACATATGTGAGCTCCCTCGCCTCAGGATACTTCTTGTTCGCTTCCATCCATGCCAAAAATTGACTCTCATTTACAGTGGGTTTTTGAATAACCTCATCAATACGATCTTCATCCTCAAAAATAACGTACTGTTCGCCTTTCAAATGGAAACTCAAACGCTGTACAGGAGGTTTTTTGTACTGTAGTTCATAACCCAACAACCTCCAAGCCGCCTCACATGAAGAAACATATCTACAGTCGTAGAACATGTTAATCTCGTCAACAGGCTTATCCGGCTCTCCGTCTCCGGTCGCCTGATAAAACGATGCGGTGACACGATCATTGCCCTTATTGACATATTTGAAGAGGTACTTGATGGACCGGGATTGATTGCACCACTCAACATTTATGTGAGCACCATATTTCATCAACAATTTCCGATTGTGGGGCACGACAAAACCGTTATGGACAACTACACCATTTTTCTCCATATGTCTTCCGTTGTCCCGACGCCTATACCGCGGATAGCCATCATCATCGACAGTCGTGAATTCAAGAAATGGTTTTGGAAAACGTTTACTGCATTTTCCATCAACCATGCACGGAGATTGCTTTCTGGCCAATCCACACGGGCCGTGGATCATGTGTTCCTTTACAGCTTCATAATAAGAAGGATCAGAAGACTCATCAGGTATCTCAGCAGAGATAATTCTATCTATGTCCGAAGGATCGGGAAACTTGTTTTCCTTTGCTAAAAAAAGAAGTATATGGGCATGAGGCAATCCGCGTTTTTGAAATTCAACAGTGTATACAACTGAAAACAAAAAAGAAGAGAATGTCAAACAATTATGAATATTACTGTAGAAGAATTAAAAAGAAATCAAATTTTGTAAAATAATGATCGTACCTGCTATTACTTTACCAAATATTTGTTTCTCACGGAAATCCCGTATCAACTGCTTTAATTTTGATCTAAAAACTCTGCAAACGATATCGGGACGATCCTCAGGACGTAAGTTCTTTGGGCCTAAAAAGCGAAGGATCTCGGGCCACTTTGGGTTGCATGTGAATGTTATAAACAAATCGGGATAACCTGCCCATCTGCATATCGCCATTGCATCCTGATAGTTCTGAATCATATTCCGAGCCCCCCCAGTGAAAGTCGAAGGTAGAATTATTCTCTTTCCTCTAGATCCTGGATCGATATCACCACGAAGAACAGCATCCGCTAACCCATTGTACATGTCACATCGTAGGCGAGTTTGATTGTAACGGATATATCTCAATCTCGATGATTCAACCATGGTATATGCATCAACGATAAATTGTTGAAACAGTCTCCTGGCCGAAAGAATAGTAGACGGTTCGTGCTCCCTATCGTGGATTCGATAAGCAAAATATTCCCTGATACTCACAGTTGTTCGACCATCCTCTTTTACTTCTCTCAGATCAGAAAATGGGATGTCTTCTCTGTACCCATCCTCCCCATAAGGCAACAATAGGGGATATTGTAAAGCCAAATAGGAAGCATTAAGTTCATTGATTCTCCGTAGGCGTCCACTTTTGGTCTCAACCAATATATCCCTTTCACCCATTGCTTGATCAAAATCTCCAACCACCAAGGCAGCAACTTCAGAGCTTGTAGGCAAGTTATAACATCTACCATCACTATGTCTCCTTCCAATTAGACGAATCTTCACATCACTTTGGCCGTGTTGTTGAATTCTTTCCCTAGCCATACGAAACGACTTAACCAGTTGATTGTGCTCGTCCAACATTGTTGTCAAGCGAGCAACAATTTCCTCATGCAAATCAGAAATACCGTCAGAGCTCCTATAAGAAAAAAAAATTAAATTCGTAATCAGCTTCACAAATATGTGACGAAAAAATTACTATAGACTAAAAATTAAAAATTTATAAATAACCGCATAATCTATTACGCAAATTACTAACCTGACTGCGTTCATTCTATTGGATAATTCATTATCCGTATCATAGATATAAAGCTGCGCAAATTTTGGAGTTGCACCTTCGGATGGAAGTAAACTACCAATCAGATGATAGTTTTGGCCGTGTAGAGTGAATACCGGAGGACCTGTACCATTGTTGATCCCTGCATCAATCTTCCCGCCCAAAGAAGTAAAGCCAAACATACTGTTATAAGATCTGATATTCTCCTGAAAGTGTTTGCTATTGCGGCTATCTCCGTGTAAAAGCTCATTTAAATATGCAGGTGGATTATGTAGTGCAGGCAGTTGTATCGCCCCGTTCATACAACAGCCCTTATATTCAGGATGAGTTGTAGCCTTTTTTGAAGATTTTCGCTCAACATACCAAAACAGTGCTCCGCAATAAATACATTGATAGCTAGCATCACCCATGTCCCAGTATTCTACAAAATTTTAATTTTAAGAAAATATATTAAATTGCAACAGATGAGCAGAAATCAAAAAATAAATATAATGTTTTATTAACGTAAAACATACCGGATTGGGACGATG